ATATAACAGATAAGACTAAGGTATATTTGCAAGTCACAAGCATACAGTGGTATCAATTTCATTGCAAATGGCAAAAAGAGATCTATGAAGATGTAAGAAAAGAAATATACTAGTTGAGATAAAGCTATCCATGGAAAGGAAATGCATCAGAGGGAAGAGGGAGAACATAATTCAGGCACATCTCTGTGAGATCGAGGCCAGCCTGGTCTACACAGTGAGCTCCAGGTGGGCTGGGACAAGGAGGACCCTGTCCAAAAAAAAATCAACTATGTGGTGAGCTGCAAGTCAGAAGCTGTGAACAATAAAGAAACCAGCTTCACAGGATGTTGGGTGGGGAAGACAGGAATAAGTTGAAAAGGCTGTGTGTAAAGAGTTTGAAACAGTAGGTATAGATACAGGGTACTTAAAGTTAATAGAGTAGACTGTAAGAAGAGAATTGAGTAGGAAGTCAATCATAGTCTAACCAAGGAGGTAGTTAAGAAAAGCCAAGAGCAACAGTGAGAGACACTGTAAAAGAAAACTTCTGTAAGCCACAGTGACTCAAAGAATGTGGGAGTAGCGGAGCTTAGTATAAAAATAACCCCACTTTAAACAATGCTTCATGAAAAGTGCTCTATTTTCTCTAACATGATGAGGTGTCCGGGAAATATCCAAGGCTGCGTTTTTATTTCCATGACTAAGAAATAAGCAAATTATTTTAGAACCTTTTTCGTACAAGACAGTAGTTTTGAACCTCCTGTTCCACCCACCTCACTCTCCCTTATCTTCACATGAAAATCCCATAGCTGGGAACCAGGTCTTTGTGAGGACACACATTTGGGGTCACCCTGCTCATCAGTCACACATAATCTGACCTGTAGGCTTGAAGTCAACATCCCTCAAACTGTCTTAAATAGAACCTTAAATGAATGGCCATAGAGGAAGCAATAAAACCATCCAGGCAATATAGTAATGAAAATATGTGCTTAGCTTTCCAAAGAAATGCATTGTTGTATCTTTGTGAAAATCTTTCCTTGGTAAAATTGCTCTCACAGCAAGATCTTATTTTCACAGTAGCCATGAAAGAGGGAAATAGAAGCAGTAATTTAATTTCCATTTTATAAAAAGAAGAATCGGGGAGATGGAGATGTCAAGTGACTTCCTTACAATTCTCCCTCTTAAATAAGCCAGTAGGCTGGAGCTAGAGCTGGTTTTCCTAATGACATCTCTTTCTGTGCTCTTAAATCCAGTCTGTACCAGGACTTGGCTTGGCACTGTGCATGACACATGCCAGGTGGCTCATATTTTGCTTCACAACATGAAAATGACATTCATACAACATATTCTATAAATAACCCACCTCATCAGTTCTATCTGAACAAGCACATGTTTAGAAATATCACTATCTACTACAGTTTTTGATATGACACATTATCTAGGCATCCATGTGTTTTATTAAGGGGGCAGTTAAGTATAGTCAAGCTGTTGGTTTTGTGATAACTGATCACTCATCTTTTACATTTAGAAATCTGTTGTAGGTCAGTAAAGATAGTGTTGCAGTATTCTTTATCACTTGTTTGCTTGATAACTTGAAAAACTGCAAAGTGGAAACTATAAATTTCTAAAGGCAGCATAACAACTAGTTCTCATTCTATGCTAGATAACAAAAACAGATAGCATTAACTACTATAATTCAAATTACTCTTTAAACCAGAAGAGAACCTTGACAGCTTTGCATATTATCTTTAGTTCCTTTTCCTATAAAATTCTGGAAGAGCTGAGAGAAGGATAAAGTGCTTGGGGACTGAGGGCTAATCAACAATGATTACAGTTAGGGACAGCCTTAGAGTAAAAGCATTTGTCACCTTCCTATTCACTCAGAAACCACCATGTAATTATGGCTATGGCAGGAATACCTTGATGGGACAGTCCTAACTTTTTTAGAATGATATAATCAAGGACAAATAATAGCTACTGAAACAGCAGCCATCTTTTATATAACAATACACAGCTTGCAAACATTTTCACCTATAGGATCTCAGTTATTCCCCAGAAAATCATAAATTAATATTATATTTTTCATTATTTTAGAAGGATCTGATCATAGAGTACTTAAGCTATTTTTGTAAGTCAAACTCCAGTAAGTGAGAGGTCTGAAACCCAGTCTTCTGTCTTGCTACCCCATGTGAACTTTACTACTCCAGACAGCCTCCAAATACATAAAGTTGGATCGAGAATGAAATTTAAAAATTTTTAAATGAATCTGCATTAATGTATTATTACAAAGTGATGTAATAGTCTCATACTTTGAATCTGACTGTAGGAATTGATGTTTTAATTTGAGTAAATAAAAAGGAAAATAAATGATTAAAAAAATCCTCAATAAATATGAAGATTGAAGAAATAAAATAAAACCAAGAGGAAAGCCACATGGCTTTGTAAACAGTAAACATACGAACATGGAAAGATGTTTATCCTCACTAACAATCTGGGTAATACAAACTAAAACCATGATCACACACCACTTACAATTACAAAAATAAACCCGAGAGTACCAAGTATTATGTCAGATGAGAAGCAATGAAAGCTGTAACACACTACCAGTAAGAATTTGAATCAATATGACCTATTTGGTTAATCTTTTCCTATTCGCTAACAAAGTTGAAGAACGTATGTGGCAAGTCATGACAAGGTACATAACTCAGGAAACCTCCCTGTCTGTGCACAGGAGCCATGAAAGAACTCTGCAACAAAGTGGTGCTTAAAATAGCCAAACATTTGTGAGAACCCAGTGTCATAATGAGGCAACAGAAAATGTTAATAAATACAATCTTCCAAAAGATACGGTAAAAATTAATGAACTAGAAGCACATCTATCAAAAGACATGAATGTCTTAAGGAAAGTTCCAGAACATGAAAATGCATTCATTTTTTTTTTTTTTTTTTTTTTGGTCCTTTTGAGACAGGGTCTCCCCTGGAACTCACTATGTAGACCAGGCTGGGCTTAAACTCACAGAGATCCACCTGCCTCTGCCTCCTGAGTGCTGGGATTAAAGGCATGCGCCACCACGCCTGGCTTACAAGAAGTTTAAAATACACAAAACATTTTTAGGGGTGAGCATTATTTGGTAATTAAATATTATTCCAAGGTAGTATTTCATAGTGACACAACTATGACACAAACTACAAAGTATGCATAAATAACAAGCCTGGAATATGAGGCAATGGTTATTTTTTTAAAGGAGAGTCAGAGAATACAAAGAGGAGAATGGGCACCAAGAAGGTTTCAACTAACATGAACAATTTTCTAATCAAGTTGCGTGGCACTACACAGGTATTTCTTTTTCCTTCAGCCACTTACATAGGCGAAATATGTCATAATTACATTTAAGAATAGGAGAGGCAGCAACTGTAGTTGCAGCTCGGTGGTAGAACATTTGCTCATATGTGAAAGACCCTGAATTTGATTCCCAACACCAAACAGTGCTGGAGGTGGGGTATAGAAGGGAAAGAAAGGGGGAGAGAATATAGTCTTCCTGGCTCTGAATTTTTACTCTGGGACTCTGAGATCAACAAAATTACTTTAAAATGTTATGAAAGCATCCCCAGATATTTCCTCTAAGGAGGGAATCCTAATAGATGTGAAAGATACATCTAACTCTGCTATCTGGGTTCAGCGCACCCGCACCCTTCAGACAGGTGGAAGAGTGAAATTCCATGCTACCAATCATAGGGCTACAGCATTTTCTAGAGACAAGCCTACTCTTGGATCCCTTGACAATACCTGTTGGGCCATTCTGCTACCTCTTTAGAACTTTAAGTTTGCTTCCATTTGGAAAAATAATTGTTAATCAAACCAGCGCTGTTGATAGCACTTTGTTTAGGATCGTTTTATTTGTAGAGTTATTTATTTATAAGTGCATTAAATGGAGAGAGATTTTATATCTTATGCCCATGAAAAGTAGTCAACTTTCTCATTTTTGGTGCTTATACTCATGATAGATAAGGACAACGCAGAGAAAAATCCCTGGCCACTTCACTGCCTGTTTCAGAAAAGCCCTGATGAATGGATGTCTGTTGAGCTATTCTTTAAACAGCCTGTAGTAGCATGCCTTTCCTTCCTCATACAGTCCTTAGCATCATCAGGCTACAATTTTAATCTGGAAATTCAATTTTCAAGTATCATGGTTCATGAGGACAAAAATACCAATCCATGGTAGAACAGTTCTCCAAAAATAAAGTTGTTATTCATACATAATTTAAGAAGTCTTAAAACAATTATCTCAAACAATCATGTCTTTTTTGCATTTTAAGGAGGGAAAAATCATTTTAATGATTATATTTTATAATGAATACTTTGTATTCAAGGCATTTCTAAGATCATAAAGTTAGACTTCTACAGAGCTATGATAATTCATTTGGGAAAGAGGACAAATGTCATTACTGAAATAACTTTTCCAAGATTAGACAATGAGCCTAAAACAGCTTCCTGTTTGGATGTCAAGGTCCCAAATCCCCTCTGTCCTATTTTAACAACACATTAATAATGGTCCACAGCTACTGCACTCTTTCCATGTGTCAGATACTGCTTTATAAGAAGGAACTGTGGTACAAAACACGAAAACGAAGGCATTCCTTTTCATGCAAATTCATGACCATTTGAAAATTTCCTGATCTCAATTGTGCAAAAACGAAAATAAAAGTGAAAAAGAAGCATAGCGAGTATGTTTCTTCAATCTAAAATCTTAGCCTTTACTTTCTGAGCCTCTCTTTCTGAATATGAAGTTTTCTCAGCTTCAAGAATAACCAAATAGCATTTTTTTTTCCAGCATTATATTTGTTGGCAGACCTGTTGTAACCTTGAGTCACCTACAGTGAATTTAAGTATTATTCTAATTGATTTCTCACTGCTTACTGAGAAACAAAGAACCTCTCTCACTGGTCTCATAAATACTTCCATTTCTCTATGTCAATTTAATTGAACTTACCTCATGTTGTCAATCTCTTTTTTTTCCTTGCAGGTGATGTCATTGTCTATATTAATGAAGTTTGTGTCCTTGGACACACACATGCAGATGTTGTCAAACTTTTCCAGTCTGTTCCTATTGGTCAGAGTGTCAACCTGGTGTTGTGTCGTGGCTACCCTTTGCCCTTTGATCCTGAAGATCCTGCTAACAGCATGGTGCCACCCCTTGCAATAATGGAGAGGCCACCTCCAGTGATGGTCAATGGAAGACATAACTATGAAACATATTTGGAATACATTTCTCGGACCTCACAGTCAGTTCCAGATATTACAGATCGGCCACCTCATTCTTTGCACTCCATGCCAGCTGATGGCCAGCTAGATGGCACGTATCCACCACCCGTCCATGACGACAATGTGTCTATGGCTTCATCTGGAGCCACCCAAGCTGAACTTATGACCTTAACCATTGTGAAAGGTGCCCAGGGCTTTGGCTTCACTATTGCTGACAGTCCCACGGGACAGCGGGTGAAACAAATACTTGACATTCAGGGATGCCCTGGGCTGTGTGAAGGTGACCTCATTATTGAGATCAACCAGCAGAATGTACAGAACCTGAGCCATACAGAAGTAGTGGATATACTTAAGGACTGCCCCATTGGAAGTGAGACTTCTTTGATTATCCATCGAGGAGGTAAGCAAGCCCAAACGTGGCAGTGCAATGTGTGGGTCAATGAGCAGGACCCTGTATAACAATACTGTTCAAATGGAGAGTTCTATGTGATAGAATAAAATTATGCTTTAAAAAAAAAAGATAAGAAAGCATAGAGGAAAACATGAATTTAGGAATCTAGGTTTCTGCATTTTTAAACTATATCTTTACCTAAGTGATATTAAACATGATTACAGTAATACTTTAAGTCTTACCAACCTCTTGATACAGACTTGGAGAGTAAAGATTGAATCCCTGGCTATGGATTTCTTCTACTGCAAAAGCTCAATAATGTATCAGTTCTACAGAACTCAGTCTCGCACCTGTTGACTTAATGAGAAACCTGCTTTTTAAAGGAAGCAGTGATGTGAATTGTAGGATTCCAGGCCAGCAGGGGGAGGATGGCCAGTTCCTCACAGCACAAGTGTTCTGAATAGCCCATTGGCAGACCATTGAAGAGTCAAGTCACTATAAAATAAAATCTCTGCTAAGTATGAAGAAGAGAATTCAGGATACTTCTTCCACTACTATAGGTCATGACTATGACTACCAAAAACAGTGCTTGCCATGACTTGGGAAGAAAATGATGGGACAGGATCAGGGCTGTGTGTTTTAAGTGGGACATGAGTTTTGATTCCTTATGGTTCCTTTTTCTCTAGTCTCTGTGGAAAAGGAATGGGGAAAAGCTGGAGGTCCTTCCTCACTTCTCTGCTGCTATGCCCTTGATGGTCAGGGAAGCAGGGAGAAGGAGGTGCAGGATCACACAGAGCTGAGTGTGAAGGACAAGGTGCAGGCTGAGTCCTGATTTTCCCACCTACCTGTTTCAGGGCTTAGGACTTGAAGTCTTAGCTGTGTGACGGTCACAGTGGGTAACAATGCCACCTCCCTGCTGGCAGTGTCCTTGGGTAGCCCACAGCAGGTACATGACTCACTACATGTCTGCTGAGGCTAAACTAGCCCCGAAGCTTCAGCAGAGATGGGTCAGGAGCAATATTGCAAGGTACTTGTGCATGAAGGACACGTGTGTGGTAAGCATATGTAATTGCCTATTCAAACACTCAAAACAGCATTCAAACCATAGATTTAAAATCCAAGTGAAAGAAGTAAAGCTGAATGGAATAACGTTTATGATTTATTTGGCGCTGTCTGCAATTTTTTTCCCTTCAAGGAAGTGTTACATTGTTGATTGCCAAATATTATGCATTTGTGAGCAGCACTACATAAAGTATTGTGTGCCCACATTACAAAGGGAAAATTAATATGATAAAATAACTGCACATGTAACCTTCTCAAGGAATTGTTATAAAATAGCACATGAATTTTAGTAATTAAATGTTGACAGTGTATTTTGATTCCCCCCATTGCTTGTTTAAGAGTAAAGCAAATATTCCTAAATAAACTGCCATGTATTCATGACATTCAATTGAAAATTCAAGTTTGGAAAGTAGATTCCTAATATTAAATTGATATGCCCGAAATACTGCGTGGTACCCATTGTATGGTTCACAAAAACAGATCTGAGCACATTTTATATAAAATGACTTCTTTTACAAGTGTGGCATCATGGGAAAATGTGTTCAGTCCTTGCCATTATTACATTTTGTACCTTTCTGGAAATATTATTGTGTGTGTGGATTCAGCCGCACTGCCCTGTTCTCTCTCCCCTTTGCCCCGTCCCTGCAGTCTCTCTTGATCAGCATTTAATCCTCTAGTAATCAAACTTTCATCTGCATTTTGTTTGTTTTGAGGAGAGGTGACTCGCCTTTCTCTTCCCACTGGTGTAGTACTACAGAATATAGAGCCCAGAATATAGAGTTGGAAACTTTGAGTTTCCTAGATCTCCTACACCATGCATTTCTTCTCTGAAGTTAATAGGAACTAGCACCGTTTGTGTGATGAGATTCATGTTGATTATCTTGTGGTAGACTATGCAGAAGTGCTACAGCTTCAGTCAGATAAGCATAGATCTTCAAGAGCACAGTTATAGGACTAGATCCGTATATCAGAACCATGGTTGATTGTCTTAGGTTATTTATTAGTATTTTTATTTGCAAAGTAATTGTTGTATAATTTTTAGCAGCTAATTCAGAAAGCATACAATGAAAAATAATGATCTGTCCCATTCTCATACTTTCATTCCCTTTTCCCAGAAGCAAACATGTTTTTATATACGAGTATGTATTATATATATATACATATATATATAGTATTTCATCTGCTGGCGCATACATAAAACACAATTTATTTAATATATATAATGACATCACATGTACATATGTCTTGCTTTAAAATGTCTTGATTAGAAGGATGTAGTTAACTTTTTAGCAAATACCAACTGGTATAATTTACATACTATATTCCAGTTGTTTCTGTATACCTCATTAAGTTCTGCCAACATGGTATAGTTGCATATGGAAGACCTCACTCCTTGAAGCATCCATCATCTTGTGTTCCCTCGGGCCCATCTGTCCACCCTCCCCTCCTCTCTCCTACCTTCAGCCTCAAGTAACTACTAACCTGCCCTGTGAATAGTTTCTCCTTTCAAAAATACTTTTATCAATAAAGTCACACAGTGTATAGCATTTTATTTAGAATAATGCTATTGAGAATTGCCTAACAGGTACACATGTATAAAAAGTTTCTTTTTTTTCAATGTATATTTTTATTGAATTTTTATAGATTTCATACAATACATTTTAATTATATTTAGACCTCCCCTATCTGCACACCCCCATAGCCTGCCCACTGAATTTCATGCATTCTGTCTTATATGTTAAAGCCTATCAAGTCAAGTTTGTGTACCCAGATATCTCTCAGTATGAGTTCATCCAGTGGAGCCTGGTTAGCCTATCTAGTGTCACCCCCTTAAAGAAAACCAACTCTCCCTCACCCAGCAGTGATCAACTGCCAATAGTTCTTTGGCTGAGATTGAGCTTCCTGCCCATTTTCCCAGTTCTCTGCTGTTTTTTTACCTGACTGAGTTTGCATGGGTCTTGTACATGCTGTCACCATTGCTGTAAGTTCATATGAGCAAGTTCCCAGAGGCCTGGAAGGCTCTGTTTCCTTCTGGTCATGCACCACCCCTGGCTCTTACAATCTTTCTGCCCCCTCTTCTGCAGTGGTCCCTGAGCTGAGAGCCCTGGGTGGATGAGGTTTAATATAGGAGTCTTATCCAGGGACACACACCCTGCAGTCTCTTATTCTCTATACTTTGGACCTTCTGTGTTTAACACCTTCTGTTACATGAGGAAGCTTCACTGATCAGAGTTGAGAGATACATTAGTATTCTCTTTACCACTTGTTCCACTATGTTCCGTGAGCCTTAGGTATAGAGGGTTCTACTGTAGATGTGTCACTTAGGGTTGGGCATTTCACAGACACTTATTCTCTGTGTGACCAATTGTGGTACTCTGTACTAAACTCTGTCTGCTGTAAAAGAAGCTTCTTTGATGAGTGGTGACTTAGTGTACTTGTCTGTAAATATAAGGATCCATATTTAGCATATAGTAAGAAATTATGCTTGTCCATGAATGTTGCACATACAGTTTTCTCTAGGATCTATAACCTCCATCCATGTGTATTTGGCTATTTTCACAGCACCACACACGATTTCCCTCCTGCTGATAAGACTTTAAGTCCAATTAGATATCAGTTGATTACGTCCAAGATAAAAGTGCCACTACTGTACCAATATAGCTTGCTGTGCTTGACATTGTTGTGGTTATTAGGCTTTAAAGCTGGGGATGGACCATTGATTCATTTTCTCCCTTAGCAGCTTGCATACTGTCCTCCACAACTATGAGAGCTAGTCTTCAGGGAGGAAGTTCCAGGTCAGTTCCATCTCCATTGCTCCAAGTGCTGTGTTCAAAGTATGTCCTGTCTTTAGCAATAGGGTCATACCTTCAAGTTCTGGGAGGTAATCAGGACTATGGCAATAGCCTCTGTCATTTTTGGAGTCTCTTGTACTACCCTGACCAACAACTTGAAGTTTCTCCTGTCTGGCACTGTGGGGGTTTTTTTGTTATATAGGCTTCAGCTATACACATGCACTCATGTACAGATATTATATGTGAAATTTTTCAGAAATCTTTTTAGCTATTACATTTCCTTCTGGTTTTTCACACCACCTAAGCATTATTTATTGTTTTTTTTTTTGTAGTCCTATACTGTTCCATTGTATGGATTCTTTTTCACTGATGACATTTGAGTTATATTCGTGCTTGAGAATTTATGAACGATATTGATTTGAACATTTGGAGTCAAGTGTTTACTTATACAAATGCTCACATTGTGAAGGGTAGAAACCTAGGAATGGCATTACTGGATTGTCTGAAAAGTATACATTTAAATTGCTGATAATTGTCTTCCAAAGTAGCTAGCCAATGTACATCCCCACAGCAATGACTGATAGTCCCAGTTTTTGCCCATATTTGCTACAATGACATTTATATTACAGCCATTCTATTCAGAGTATACTTATTGATACCTTTTCATGGTTTTAACTTATATCTCTCTAATTTTTGGCATATTTTCATATATTTATTAGCATTCATAAACTTCTTTAGTATGTCTAATTAAATACGTTTACCTATTTGTATAATGGACCATTTGTCATCTTTTCTGCTCCTATACTGAGATTGAACCCAGGACCTTGTGCACACTAGGAAAATACTGAACTTTATCCACAGCCCTATTTGTCATTGTAAGTTACAAAAACTCTTTATATATTGAAACTCTGAGTCTGTTTTTTAAGATAAATGACTTGTTACAACTTTCTCTAAATCTCTTCCTTGTCTTTTCCTTTTCTCTTTGGTGCCTTTGGAAAATATTTTAATTTTCATAAAGTTAAATTTATCAGGTTTTTAAATTTTTAACATTCTTTTGGTGCCATATGTTTGCTTATCCCAAAGTTGCAGCTTTCCTCTGTCTTCTGAAAGTTCTAAAGTTTTAGTATTTATATTTAATTCAATTTAAAGTAATTT